CCCCCCCCCCCCCCTTAATTCCAACTTTTCTGAACGGATTTGAGCTGTCTTTTACATACGACAAGAGGGATACACTTTACACGTTAGTTTTTACCGTGCATTCACAAAACCCAACGAAATGGGCATTTCCCATTATCTTGTATTTTATTTCAAGGTTGATATAATGGCAATCTGTTCAGAGAGTGGAAGTCTTCGCAATATTGTCTTAACAGCTGCCGGAACAGCCATTTGCGAACAATATTATAGAGAGTCCAACGGAGTTCAGACACCCTGGCTAGAAACTGCGCCTGGATCACTGAAATGTCAAAAAGTCGTCTATTGCACACAGGGAGTGGATGCATTAAATCTTATTCTTACAATATTCGTTAAAACATGGATAACATGTGCGTATGAAAATAATTATCAGAGTATTGGTGAGTGTTTCTATTTAATCTCGCAGAAATGATGTAATCTGCGAGAGACAATAAAGGAAACAATTGAGTTTTTTCTATTTTCAGCCTTTGGTGTTGAAAATCCAGCATTCGCATCGCCGATGATTGCACTTGTCAAACAATCGTTAGAGAGGCATCGAAAGCCATTATCTGTGCTATTCGTTGTATCAGAAAGAGATCGACCAGTTTATGATGCATTTGTGAGCTGTTTAGCCACAATTCCAACAAACAAAATGACAGATAATTCCATACCAAGGCTAGAGATAAGTTTAGCAACGACAAAAATATTCTTCTTACACATCCTCTCATTTTCTTTATTAATATGTTTCTGCCAATCAAAGCCAACCTCATGGAAAAAGCTCAGTAGCTATCAACTGATTTAAAAACATAATCCAAACGAAAGTTAGCTTTAATTCGAAACGCATTTTTCGGTGCTCTTTGTTTTTGCAGAGTTTATTATGCATCAAAAAATGGTCTGTAAAAGATAATAATAAATAAAAATGTCTTCTTTCACAAAGATTCTAGATCCACTTTACGGATATTTAAAAAAGAATTCCCACTAAGAAACGTTCACAAATTTTTTGCAATCTTGACTTTGATTGGTCGAAACGTTTTGACAAAATAATAATTAGTGTATTTGAAATGAAATTTACTGTTATCATTCAACTTATTCTTTCTTTTTTACGATCTCTTTCCATTTCTTCTGCCAATGACACCACGCGACACAAAAAAATTTTTCAAAAAAGGTAAGCGGATGTATGGAAAACATTTCTGCAGAAAAAAAAGTGCTATGATCACCTAGTTTATTAGCAAACGACCCCAATCACTAAATGACTATAGAGCTAACATTTAGTACACAAAACAATTCTTTGTTGCTGCACCTGTCGAGACCATTCACCTACAACATAAGTCTCAGTTGACGAGAAGCAATCCATGAGTTCATGTTATTCTTCTGCTAAATAAAAGTCTTATTTAAAAATCTTTAAGAAACTATTTTCTCCAACTTGGAAAGATGTATGGATATGTCCGTAGTCGAACAACCTCTATGTCGAAATAAATGCCGGTTTTGTGAGTTTTTCAGCCACAAGTACTGTGAAGAAAATCTTTTAAAATTTGAAAGACAACTCAATAGATTTGTTGATGCTTTCTTCGATTTACGATAGTTCCTTAATAGAAAGCCCTATAGTCATATCTGTAACCGGTACATTCCATTCTTGTTCACTAAGTTGTAGATCAAAGGTGACTGGTCAGTTGATTTCCTTGTCTTCATAGATAAATTTATCTTGCAAAGACATGATCTTTATTTCTGACATTGTAGTTGCGAAAATTACATTGAAGAGTTCGTCCTCAAATCAAAATGATCTAAAAAAATGTCGTTCAGAAATGGAGAGAGTATGCGAAAGTAGTTTAATTAAATCTGTGATCACAGATATATCCGATTTACGTGAATGGACACAGTCAACAATTCAAGATTACTTTAAGTTTTGTGTGTGGGAAAAACAAGTACTCCCTAAAATGGATATCGGAAATGGTATTGTTGAGTTGCAAGGATCTGTGGCTGATGTGAGTAGTCACTGTGCCGATGAACAGTCGGATGTTAATGTAGTAATTAGCTATTCTTTATCTTAGGTCGAGGAGTGTAAAACTTATTTCCACGAACTGAACAGTAACCTTTTAAATCAAGTAAGAAAGATCGTCAGCGCCCAGGATGTTGTATGGTCATATTTCCATTCTGACACAAACCAATGGACGCAATATCCTATTGAACTCAATGTGGAAATTGAAGATGCATATCACAAAAGATTACCGGTAGATAACGAAAAACATCGAATAAATCCGTTGAGCTTCAGCATTTTGCTTCGTGAAGGATAATTTTACGAAGCGAATCTCTCCTCATTCTCAAATTAATTTTAAGTCCTTTACTGTACGTCATTTCCACTAGAAGACTCGGCAAATAAAGACATTCGACGCATGGATTACATCTGATGTTCTAGGATGTCACTAAAACCAATGTTACAGATTTTTGTGCATGCACCTAGTAACTTCTAGAGGGTGATGGATGAGTTAGCCACTGTCGAGTACCAAAGTAAAACTAATAAAAGTCATATATTCATTAAAGGATCAAATTATAACGCAAAAACTGTCCTTTCTTGACTTGACAGAAAAGTATTTTTCCTTTGTTATGATAGAGACTGGTCATCAAAGTTTTCGAAAAAAGTGAACGTGCTTTTTCTGAAGACAATGAGAGAGTGGTAATACTCGATAGTAGTCGACTTGCTGCCGTCGTTTGTAACACAGATTACTAAAATGCCTCTGAAATATAAAACTTCTAGATCTCGAAATTGTTTTTGATTTATCCGTAATTTTTGGTATCTACATTTTAAAATATCCTATGAAACTTTGCCATCTACTCTTTTGATCACTTATGAGCTGTCCTAGCGATAAATCGCTTGTGTTGCATAATGGGGGCGTATACTTTAGTTATACTTAAATATTTGGCTTTTTTGAAAGAGTGAGTCAGTGTACAACGACTTATCACAGAATTATCTTCTTTCAGGAATTCTCTAATGGACTCATTGATATAAATTTTGAAAAAATGATAGAAATTCACACTAATCGCTCAACTCAAGTACAGCGTAGAGAAATAAATCCTGTCGTGCCCATTGTAAGTGTATTATAAACATATGCGTATGTTTCGAATGGAATAATTTTTCCCCGTCTACAGACTTGGGACATGGAAAATGACAATGGTCGGAAACGAATCCCATTGAAATTCACCTCAAAAGAATATGTTCAAGTCTTGAAAAAATTTAATGATGCAAATATGAATGGAAAGTACACAGAAATAAGAAGAATTGAACGAATACAGAATGAACGATGGTTTTTACAATACTCAGCGTAAGTGGAAGATTTTTTGAATTTATGCACTTTTTCTTTATGCTACATGTTCTTGTCATTTTAAAGCCATCGTGATGAATTCAAACAGCGTTTCAATGATCGTCCATACGAAAAGTCTCTATTCCATGGTTGTAGAGACGTAGCTGTTGATTCAATTATTAGCGAAAATTTTAATCGTGCATATGCTGGCGTGAACGGTAGATTACAAGTTTATTTTTTCAGTTTTGAGTGCCCCGAAGTAGAACGTAGATCATAAAATTCTCTATAAGATTAGAGGTCACTCCATTTTTCTGTGTTTCAAAACTGTTCATTTTTTAACTGACCTAAAAGTGAAGAGCCTAACTTAAATATGAAAGTAATCGTCTGGTAACAATTTGAGCTTTCTAAAACTTTTCTTGGGCTGAATAATAGCATAGGGAAAGAAATGAGAGCCTGACTTAAAGCAAGACAGTATTAAAGTATTATTTCGGATCAGTAACAGAAAAACGAACAAATTCATCCACTATTTTTAATAGGAACTGTGTATGGGAAGGGCTGTTATTTTTCTGCATCAGCTGAATACAGTCACAGCTATGCAATTCCAAACTCTTCTGGTGAACGACATATGTTCTTAGCAAAAGTTTTAACTGGAAAATCAGAAATTGGTAACTCATCAATGAAAGTACCACCGACTGGCTATGATTCAACGACTGATGGCAAGAATATATTTGTTACTTATCATGACGCTCAGGCATACGCAGAGTATCTAATTGTGTATAAATAGATGATCACATAAAATCATTTTAGCAGAGAACAGTATCCAATGCAACTGTATTTCCTCACCTGTGTTTTAGAGTTTGTACGAACGTAAATAAAGCTTTTCTTTGTCTGTTTGAAACAAGTAACGTTCAGTAAGAGTCGATTCACTTGTCCCTAGACTGATGGTATAGCGCTACAAATATAATTGTAGACAGATGCGAATGTAATTCACTACATATGACTATTTCTAATATAGTATGATTATTGTGATGATCTGATAACTTTGTTTTCGACAATCATCGTGGAGATTATAAACATATTAGCTAATCATTATAGTTCAAATTCATCATTAGAGCTTGAATTGTAAATGGTGATCCTTTTCACCTTATTCAGTATGATTAGATCTACACTCGACGATCTAACTATAAATGAGCGCACAAGTTGTCGATAAAGTAGAATTTGATAGGTGAATTTGAACGTACACAACAGCTTTAATGAACAAAACTTATACTCTTGAATAATGTAATGGCATGCTTGCTTTGAGAACAAACTGCACTAATAGAAATATCTTTTACTGTTTTCATTAATGGCGCTACATGGTTGTGAAAACAGTATGTGACATGCCAAAAGTAGGGTGTGAGTGTGGGGTGTGGGTGTGGGTGGTGTAGATAGGTGTGGGTGTAGGTGGGTGTGACTGTGGTTGTGTCTGTGACTTAGCGTACTCTCTACCTCTTCATCTACACCCACCCCC